AGGGGGGGGGATGGGGGTCGTACTCATGTTTTACATGCATTAGTGATTAGGTTATTGACCACGCGTCCTCGAGAGGACGGAGCATTGTTCCAACAGGAACGATCACCGATGGCCAAAGGTATTCAGAGCATAGGTGATGGGTGGAAGAGGAGGAGAAATGACTACTCAAGAAACCATACGGGGATGCCACAGCTAGAACAGAGAAGTCCATGTTAAGTGAACAACATCAATCGCCACTATGCGTTCTGTGCACAATAAACCGAGAGAAAACCCCGTTACGAACAAAACTCAGGAGAAGCCTGTATTTGTAGTGCTGTGACCGCTATCGAAAAATGATGGCAAAAAAAACGCGTGCACCACAAGAACAATCAAGAGAGGGTCTGCATGGAAAACAATCTCGGGTCTGCCTGGAAAACAATCTCGGGTCTGCCTGAGAAACGACCGGCATGAAGCGAAGAGAGGTCGACAGCCTTGTCGAGGCACGTTAAGGGGGACGGGATGGAGGAATCAGGTAACAACCTACTTCCACAACATCAGCAAAACACACGAAGAGTCCTACAGGGATAAACACCCACTCCCGTGCTGGAAAGCGGGCAGACTAGCATGCTGACATGGACCCGTCCGTCGCCGACGACGGTGTTCGTTTTATGAAGGAGACGCTTTCGATAGGGAAAGCCAACCGTTCCATGCAACGTCTACACGAACATCAACATGATCATCTAACAACAACATCAATCTGAGTATCTAAACTAATACCAGCATTAACACTAACACCAACACCAGTAACACGAACACATCACAAAATAACACCAACCATAAACATGAACACGGACATCTAAATCAACACCAGCATCAACAATTGCACCTACACCAACAACACCATCACAGCACTAGCACAGCACCGACAACAACACCAACACCAACGATACAAGCACATCACCCCAAATAACAACAATGTCAACATGAACTCAACATGAACATCAAACACTTATTTTTACCTACACCTACACTTCCTACACTTACAACGACACCAACATCACCATCACAGCACCAGCACAGAACCAATGCCAACACCAAAATACATCACAGCACCAACATCGGTCACCTTGACGCTTTTCTCGAAGCAGGCCCTTGCCAGCTTGGCGAAGAAGTACTCCGACAGCCAGCCGTGCAGGTCCCGGAAGTAGTCGGCGTACGTCTCGGTTATGGTCTTCATCGCCTCGAACGTGCCGATCTCCCACTCGTCAGAGAACAACTTTTGCACCACCTGCCACGTGAAAGACACATATGATCATGATTTCTTCCTTTGCTCCCGTGTTCGTCTCCTATCCGGAGAGCAGCTTAACTTCCCCCATGACGCGCCCTCACGGGGTCCCAGATCATGGTAGCCTTTCGAAGCATTTTTTGTTTTCAGCTGCAATGAGACTGAGGTGTATTTATAGGTCAGCCGGTTGACAATATTTATTTGTGCGTGGCATTATCTGTATTCTTGGTCCACTCCTCATCACAGGCAAGAGTTAACCAGAGTTAACCAGAGTTAACCAAGACATGAGACATGAGACATGAGACATGAGACATGAGACATGAGACATGAGATACGGTTCGGATTGGGGTCATCAGAGCTTTGGTGCTTCAACCAATGGCAACAATCACAACAGCATCGACAACAACAACAACAACAACAACAACTTCTCACCTCGGCATCCTCCAGTGTGGCAATCATGGAGTTGCTGATAGCCCCTGTTGCTATCAAAGCCACCTCCACGTAA